TATGAGCATTGGTATATAGGCATTTAAGGCCCTGCCTAGACTTATTAGCTCTAACATAGGGCTAGGTAAAATATGGCCCACAGGCTGTATCTGGTCCACTGATTCATTCTATCTAGTTTGCAGGCAGGCGGCAGCTCTAGGTCTGGCCTCTGCTTGTACGGCAGGGGATGCTAGGAGGAAGCAGAGCTGCCCACCCACCACATGGCAGATCCTGGGTGAGCTGTGCTCAAGCCCTAGAGGCTCTAGCTCTCACCTCTGCTGATGCTGTGGGGGATTGCTGGGTGGAAGCAGCCTTACCCACTCAGCTTTGAGTGGCAGGTCCCGGACAAGCCACATTCAGGCTCTGGACCCCCTGCTCGGGTTCAGCTGGCAGCACCCTGCCTGCCTGCAGTTTAGGAGCCCATGGCATTGCCAAGGGCACTCAGAAGAAGGCTGCCCCAAATGCCCAGAGCCTGAGGTGGAAATGAGGTCATCATTCTTCCCATTGAGTGAGTTTCTTCATTTTTCTTTAACCTAATCTTCAATATATAAGGGTAAGACTATTTTGAGCAATTATGTAATCATTTCTATATACACTACTCAACAAAACACCGTAAGGGCAAAAAATATATTTTTAATAAAATTAAAATATTTTATAGTATATATTTGATTTTTAGTATATGATTTGTTTTTTAATCCATAAATTGTTAAAATGTCTTCCCCATTAATTTTATGTATGCATCCTTCAACAGCTCATGTTAACTCGTGAGTGGCCCCCAGCTGAAATAACTGCTCCACCCTACTTTAGCAGCTAACAGCACCCTAAACCAAGTACACAACTGTAATAAAATGCAAATAATAGGTAAGCAAAGACATAATTAAAAAGGTCCGATTTGCACTGACAAGGGAAAAGAGAAATAAGGATACTAGAATGTAATACATATTTAAAGAGAGAGTGTCTGTGGTTGACATGGCAAAGAGAACTATGAACTGACCAATGGTGCATGCCAGAATGATGGCATCAGCTCATCAAACTTCCCACTTACTGATCACTTCTTAATAAGTGCCTTGCCTTCATTAAAAAAAATTGCTGTCCTTAGCTGAACAGTGACAAGCCTCTTTCCAGTATCTACCAAGGAAACTAGGATATGCTCACTGCCTTGTTAAAAACCAAGAACAACTGAGGATTCTGGCTAATGCCAAAGCTGCCTCACCACATCACCATTAAAAAACGTCTAAAAAAGAACACTACTTTTCTCCCTAAGTTAGAAAAAAATGAACCTCTATTGAGCCATATTTGGCTGTGGGTTGGAATGACCCAGCTCAGGCAGGCAGGCACTAGGACTGCTACTGCTTTTCCCTGCCATGGCACAGGCAAAGTGCCTGCCACCAAACACTGCCAAAGCCCCCATGGCCTTGGGCTGGATCCAACTATAGGGGGTATTTAGTCACTCCATATGATTTTCCAAAACCAAACAAGAGTTGGCACTTTGGAAAAGAAGCATAAAAAATCATACATCATGGCAAAAGCTATTAGCAGAGAACATCCGAAAAAGAGACAGAGACAGAGAGACAGGTTTAGTGGAAAGGTCAGCTAGAACAACTACCATTCTTTCGTACAAAATATCTTTCCCCTATGCTTATGTTCTTGCCCAATTATAAGTATCTTATTTGGAGATGCTTTCCTTTTGTTCGCAAGACAGATTTTTGGTTTTATTTAGATAGACAACAGATCCATACTAGCATGCCCCTCAATTCAAACTTTAAATAATATTCAGGTATATTCTCACTTTAGATCATATTCTGTCTTCCTGATGCACAGTTGAAATACTTAACTAGGAAACCATATTATCTTACATCTTTAAAGATTCATCAGGATATATCATTTACCACTTTCTTCCCCACTGAGGCAGGAAAATAATATCTGAAATGTGCCCTGCCTACTGCTTGGCAAATGAGTCTAATTTAGTTCTATTGTATATGCCATTTAGTTGATAAAGAATTTTTATTTTTTACTTTAAATAAAACCATTCTTCCAATAGGCAGCAATGGAAAGAAGTCATTTGTCAACATTAAGATTCTTTAGAAATTTCTAAAGAAAGTTTATTTTGTTACACTTGTTTGATGGTCAGTCACCTTGGTGATCCACGCAGAATATGAACCTAGCTGAAACAGAATAGAAGAGAAGTCAATAGAACCGGCTCAACTTCCTTTGGTCTGTAAAGTAGGAACATGAGGAGTTGGATGAATTTTACTTTAATACATGAGTGTCAAACATGGCAAATCCAGCCTTCAAAGCCATGTCTTCTGGCCTACGGGGTTCCCAGAGCGGGCAGGAACATAGGCTGGGGTTCATCACAGAAATCCAGGGTATGGAGCCCCACTGAGGATGTGTGTCAGCAGCAGGGGACATGAGATGGCTACATACATTCGCTCCCTAGCTGCCATTCCTGTTCGCTGTGCCACTGCTGCCACATTCTAATCTGGCCCACAAGGAGCAGCAAGTTTGACGCCCCTGCTTTAATAAATTAGCTTTCTTAGAATTGTTAATAATAAGAAACCAAATTATCTCCTAATTCAAACTAAAGGAATGGATGCAGCTGCCTGACTTCCAAATTACTGGGCGCAACTTCTATAATTTAAGAATTGAAATGAATGGACCCCAGATTTTCATTTTATTATATGTCTTTAATAAAAATATTTAGAATTGTATCATCCTCAGTATTACCTATGATTTTATCACATTTCCATACCTGAGATCCTGAGACACAAAGTTTCTTGAAGGGATGTATAAATTATATTTAATTGGAGGCAATACTAGACTCTTTTCTCCCTGCTCAAAGGCCATAAACAACTGAGTATGAATATGTTTATAACACTTGACAAAAGTAAGATCAAATCCCCCCAAACGGCAAAAAAAAAACATTAACAAAAAAACATTTATTATAAGACAGGTAAGAGAGAATAAGCAGTCCAAAAAAAAAATAAGGATTAGAACAGATGTTCAGTATCTTTACTGGGGCCAGAACCCTTAAATGCTTCTCTCTCCTGCATTTCAATAACTTTATATAAATAATAAGCACAGAGAAGAAATCATCATGATTTTTTTTGCCTTTTTTTGTTTTATTTCTTGTTGTTCATTTAAATTAATACATGCACCGAAAGATTTGGGATCCTACAGCATCCTAAAGCCTCCAGCATTTATACAATCTGGCATCTTCAACATGAACCACTTCATGACTGATAATAGTTGCTTTGAAATTGACATGGTTCAGACTGAAGTCAGTCTTCAAAGGGAAACTAGTATTAAAAATCCTCAATCCCTGGTTGTGTTTTGAGCCCAGGCCATAAGTATATTTCATGCAGAGTGCACAGTCTGGCGTGTATTATTTTGTACTTAATAACATTAACATTAGCTACAGAAAATAGGATTTAAGATGACATTTTAGCCAAGGCATCTTTCCAAGGATGGAGAAGAGACAGTGGCAAAGATACCAATTCTGATCCTATTTTATCTCTCTAGCATTATTTGATTAACTTCTGAAATCAAGTTTGCCATGCCACACATTAAACAACATGCAGAAAAATAGTAAATGAGAACGAAAATCCTGCTCATTTCACTCAGTCATTCCCCTAAAACGCTTCCTTCCCATGACCATAATATGCTGACCAACGTTATCTCACCGCAGTTTTCTTCACCTTTGAAGAAAATTTTTCCCAAAGTATGAAAACAAAAATCAAAATGCTTTAAATTAATTCTTTACAGCAATTTACTCCGCAGTGCAGAGACCAGTTACCTAACTATGCAATTTACCCCTCATAATTATTCATCTAGCATTACTTATTAAAAATATTCACACCAGGAAATCAGATTCTAAATCCCCACATCTGGGAGAATATAACACATTGTAATAAATGTCGTATGGGTCAAATTAACCCTTGCACCTATACTCCTTTATGGATCTTTCTGAGTATTTCTTTTTAAGATCCCCCAAATAGGGCATTTTTTTAATGACTTACGGTTGGTTGTTCTGCTTTGATCGCTCTCAATGCTGTCATTTGACTGGTTGCTTGAGACAGAGGATACACTTGAAGTCCTGACAAAACCAAATGCTGCCAGCTTAGCTGCTGGCATGCGTGAATAGCCAGGAGGACGAAGTCCAGATTGGCATGGCTTTGGAAGATTTGATTTTGCAGCATTTGGACATGGGCCTTTTTTACGATCAACTGAAAGAAGAAGGGGTGGGGGGGGGGAAGAAAAAGTTTATATTAAAGCTACAAAACCAGGACACATCAGAGTATATTTTAAAAAAAAAGGAAATGCCAGCCAACAGTGAATACAGAGTTTTAAAAGCTACTCAAACTGCAGTAGTGTCATGGTTTTGCCTCAGACCACTGATGCTCAGCCTCCAGCCTGCGGGCCAAATCCAGCTCAGAGGGCTGTGTCATCCAGCCTGTAGGGTTTCCCAAAAATCTGGAAATTTGGCAGTGGAAGGTAGTGTTAACTGCAGTGGCTCTGGAATCCAGTGTGTGGGCTTGCTTCATGACTGGATCACCTGCATGACCAATGTCCAATTGCACACATGGACAGACCCCATACACAGACCCCACACTGGATCTGGCCTGCAGGAAGGCCCTACACCACTCATCTAGCCCATAGGGCTGGACGACTGAGCATCACTGTCTCAGACAAATATGCTGTAATATAAAACAACTGCAGTTCACAATAGATTATAGACTGTGAAATACAATAAAAAATGTGAAAGTATGAAGTCAAAATTCCAACACTGTAAGGGAGTTCATGCATATACAAGGATTTATTTATAACCAGTGTTATTCTTTCATATTAGATCACTTCCTGCTTTTATTTGCCAGCTAACAGAGGAGAGACTACTCCATTAACCTGTATTCTGCTCTTACCACTTAGTTTTTTTCTAGAAAATTCAGGAATATCATTTCAAATGATCTTTCTCCTAAAATATCATCAGCAGGGGGTGGGAAATTCTAACAGGTTTGGAGTTCGTGTGAAAAGTCTGGATGCTGATATGAACTATTGAAACTTCTTTAATCCAAAAATATTGATCAGAGCATATTTAATCTAAATGTCTTACTATTTCCCTTTTCCTTTTACAATGTCTCTCTCTCCTAGTTTCAGTTTCCTATTCCTTTTGCAATTTAGAAGTGTTAAAAAACAAAAGAAAAAAAGAGAACCTAAAGCTTTAAGAACCTTCTGAAAAGTCTGGTTCTAGAAACATGCAAAGTTTTACTTTCTGTATATAGGGAAGAACTTTATCTATTTATTTTTGCAAATCAGTTCATTTCTTCCTACTATTATTCTGCCTTTGAAAATAGTCAAGAGAGCAATGCGATGCTTAGAAGTCATTAAAGCTACCAACTTATGTTATCCCGCTGGCAGCAAACTCACCCAAAGTACCCTGCCTTTGGGTGAGTAATTTACACATCAGACAGAAGGATATTTCATATGAAGAAGTGCAAATTTACAACTTTAAAGGAAGAATGGGAATTAACTACACAGTAAAAATAAATAAATATAGTACCCATATTATCATACTATTTAAATCCTTTGTAAATTATGTAGGTCATAGTCTTATTACATTTAATTAGGGATTAGCATTTGATGAGACTTTACAGAAAACAAGATTAACTCCCTGTATGAACAGAAAAAAATATGTTATTAGAATTTTGAGATATATTTGTGTACCTCATCATTATGGTAGCTAGATTTTTAATAAAAATATTTCTGAAGTAAAATATATGTGAAGCTATGCAAAATACTACCCCCAAAAACTATCAGTTTAAAAAAAGTACATTTTAAAATACCATAGACAAAAAAGTAAAAAGATTATTCGCTATGCCAACAAAGGGACTTGCATGATAATCCTTTGTATCTGCCTTTAAATATTTTTTCTAATAATTTTCATGGCTTCACATAAGTATTGAGATCTAGGAATGCAGGTGTTCAAGTGTAATGTCTTTAACAAGGGTGTAGGTTACAGCTGTGTTGTTCTAAGGACATAGGCAGACAAGGTTCTTTCGGTGAATCTGATATCTTTTATTAGACCAACTTAAACAGTTGGAATTTAAAAAAAAAAAAAAAAGCGTTTGGGTTAAAAAACCCTTTGTCAGGCTGAGGAAGTTTCAGCAGTTGGTGTGTGCTCTTCCTTGATGGAATGAAAAGTAAAGAAGCCAGAGGTTGGGCTGATATGCATACAAGATAGGCAGTCAGTGAAGATGTAAATTGAACCATGTCTTTAACAAGGCACAGGCACATATATTTTGCACATATATTTCAATCAGGAAACTGGAATCAAATGTCTGCACCTTGTATTAGAATACAAGCTTGAAAAATCTGTATTATAAGGCAAAATTCACTTATGGGTTGACCTTCAATATGGACAACTAGCTTAGATTCCAGTTCTGAATCTGACTTCACATGGGCATTATGCAGGTTTAGTGTCCCATACATTGTCAGGTGACAGATCAAGACCCTAGTGATGCCAAGGCAGTTATACCAACAGCTAAAACAGATATGTATAGTTGCTTGTACAGATAGTGCTGTTCTACATTCTTTCTTTCACAAAGGTATTTTATACAAGCTCTGCTTTCTCACTATTTTGCCCCTGAATTCTTATACCAAAATGCATCACAAATTATTTTATGCATTGACTAGCTTCTGCTGTGACTAATTACAATCTTGGATGTCTAGGAGGACTGTAAAGTTAAAATGCTGAGGCCCCAGCTTCCTTCTGCTGCTCCTCCAGGGTACCAAGACCTTGACCTTCCACATACTATAGCTAGAAGTCAGATAATAGTTCAGACTTCTATTAATTACCATTAACTTCTTTGGGCCCAGTTCTCCACATATTGCAACTTCTGGTGGTATCATTTAGTTTTGTGCAAAATGAATGTAAGACATTATCAAGCTAGAGTTCTTCTTTCACACTGCTGGCAGGACTTTAAACACACTTCACAGATAAATGACATTGAAGCTTTCAAATTTAAATTCTGATGTTTTCTGCATTACAGGGCAAAGTATCAAAGGACAAAACCTACCTAAAAAAAGTGCTGGACAGGGCAAACGTATGCATGACTCTTGGCTTACTCATGACTCATGACTTCTTAACACTAACTCTGCTTGTTTTCTACAGGTTCAGCTAAGGGCTATAGCACAGCTTTAAAGGCAAAGAACAGGCTTGGTGGCATGAAACTGGGCTAGCACCACAGTATTAATATGAGCCATCAGTGTGATGCTGTAGCTAGCAGGGAAAATAATACTCCGGCAGGCATCAATTGATGCATCTGAAACAAAACCAAGGAGGTGATTCTTCCGTTCTACTCAGCACTGGTGAGACCACAGTTGGAGTACTGCATCCAGTTCTGGGCACCACACTTTAACAAGGATGTGGGCAAGCTTGAGAGAGTCCAGAGAACAGCCACCCATATGATCAGAGTCTTCAAAGGAAAGCCATACAAGGAAAAGCAGAGGGATCTGGGACTCCTTAGCCTGAGGAAAAGATGGCTGAGAGGGGACTTGGTAGCAGCTTACCATTACACTAGGGGAGTATGCCAAGGGCTCAGTGAGCAACTGTTCACCAGGGCGCTAGAGTAATTGCCACAAACTCCAGGAACATCGATTCAGGCTCAACATTAGGAACAACTTCTTCATAGTCAGGGTGTCCAGACTGTGGAATAAGCTCCCTCCAGGGGTGGCGCAATCACCTACCCTGGAAATCTTCACGAGGAGACTAGACAGTCACCTTGCTGGGGTCACCTGGCTCCCAGTTATCTTTCCTGCTTGGTGCAGGGGGCTAGACCCAATGATCTTCTGAGGTCCCTTCCAGCCTTACAGTCTGTGAATCTATGAACATGCTCTGTTCACAATGTGTCACATGGCTCTACTCAAACAATGACAATTTTCTAGCTTTCAGAAGAATGTACTCTAGTAAAAGTTACACATTAACTTGTAGAGTAGGGGCTGGAGAAAAGGGATAGACTAAACCAGAGACAACTTAGCAGCATTTAGAGGACCTTGCTGAGGCAAAGAAAGAGGAAAGTCTGAATAGAGTCTACTGGATTTGGGTGCTTTCCAGTAGCTCCAAGTCTGGGCACCACATAGCAGAAACTAGTAGAGCAAAAGGACTGCCCTAGCAGGTAGGGATGGACAGAAGTCATGGCCCTGACTCTTGCAGGCAATGCACCTCTGTAGCTACAGGCACAAATGGTTCTTCATTACAGCTAATCTAAAGCTGGGATTTCTAACGTTTTGTAGAGGGGAAAAGCATTTTTTTTCTGAATTAAAAGTCTAAATGGCAAAATTGCCCTCAGAACAGAGATACATGAAAACCTGTGTTATGTTTTAAATACAACACAGGTTATATTTAAAAACTTAAAAACAAAATGGATCCTGGGAGTGCAAGTACTGAGGCTCCTGGGTCAGCCAGGGTTTCTAGGCTGCCAAATCTAAGAGAGGGTGTCTGGAAGCCTAGAAGTCCCTAGCTATTGCTGGTGATTTTAGAGTTTCCATGCTGGAGATCTGGAAGCCAAGCTCCACTAGAGCTAGGGCTCTGAAGTCCTACTAATAGGAAGGAGTCTAAGAACCCTGCTGTCCCTAATCTTGGGGAAGACTGAAGCTGGGACACCTGCTAACCTAGAGTGCTTCCAGCCTTCCAAGCAGTCTGGAAGGCTAGCTGACAGGAAACAAGGAAAAGTCCTGTCATAGCCCTGCCTGTGCTTTGTCAGAAGATCACTGAAACATAAATGGTTTGCTAAAGTGTGTCAGTTTCAATAAATTAGTGTTTTCCAGCAAAGACCTGTTTCGCCAGAAAATTCCCAACCAGCCCTGCCCTGGTTCCCACTGCAATCTGCCTGTTCAATCTGAACGGAGAGTTCCTCCTTCCCCCACCCCACCCAGATAGGTGCTGGATACCCTAGTTTGGTCTTTTCATTAGGGGTGCACTGTTAGAGCTATTTGGGGCTGATACTGATAGCCAATTTTTAAGGAGGCATATCAGCTGATACCGATCCGATTTCCAATACGCAGCCCGGTAGCTTGAAGAGCAGTTGGTAAGTCTGTTGTGGTGGAAGGGGAGTGGGAAGGGAAAGGGTGGGGCGGGGGGCAGATTGAGCCCAAGATAGGGCTGGGGCAGGCACTGCCTGCTGGGGCGGGGCAGGGCATGGGATGTAGCCATTGCTTGTCCAGGGGGGCG